TAAAACTGGGTTAAAAATCCCATATGCCCCATATTTAACTATGTGACCCTGTCTAAATTATTTGATCTATATGAATCACAGTTTCCAGCTGTATTTGAAAAAAAAAATCTCTTTCATAAGGTTCATGGTAGACACACTCATAAAAAATCATCTCCCCCCATTCCCTGCATCATCATTACATTTGGATAGTATCACTGCAACTTCAAGGGTAGCAGAAAAGATGCCGTTAACTTTCTGAAATAGGTAATAAGTAGTAAAAGATCAGGAAAGGCAGTGGGTCAACATTTTGGTAGGTAACTTAAGGGTGAAGACATAAGTTACTGGTTTCCAGAGTCAAGGTGGCTTCCAGATGTCAGAATGTACCACTAATAAGAATATAGATAGTTCTGTCTATTGTCAGGATAGGCAAAGGGAAATCCAGGATGTTGCGTATGATCACTATGTATCAGAGCATACTGACCAACCAGAAAAAAGAATAAGAGTTAAATATTCATTCATTTACTTGAAACTGTATACTGAGAACATGCCTGCTTTTGGTCCTGGAGTAACTCATGGTCTATTTGGGGAGATAGATAATATACTCACAGAAATTGTAGTACTTTGGTAAGTGCTAGTGATATTAACATAATTGTTTGTATAAGGAAGTGGAACAATTATCATTGGAATCTTCCTGGTTCACTAAATGTGAAATGAGGAAGAAATATTTGATCTGGGTAGAAGTTTGCCAATCTGAAGATACTGGGTAAGGGACCATTCTAGTTTGAGGAAACTATATAGAAGTCATGAAGGTCTGATGTACAGAGTGGTGCAAAATTCAGCGCAATAAAGTAGGTTGGGTAGGGAGCGATATGGGTCCAGATCTGGATATCTTCACATGCCTCTTCTGCTCAGATGGTGTAGGCAAATGGAGAGCTGCCTAAGTTTGCTGAAGTGTTTGATGATATGACAATTTTGGTTTTTATGGAAAGTAGTTCTAGTAGCAGTTTGAGGATGGATAAACAAAGAGAAGTCAAGTCACATAAATACCATGAAACTCATTGATTTCCAAATAATTTTTTTGAGGGGTGAGAAACAGCCATGTTAAGTATACATAGTACATGCACTTTGAGTATTGCAGTGTTTCTGGTTTATAAAATTTTGTGTACAGCACTTCATTGATTTTTAGAGAACTCTATGGAGTAGGCATTATTTAGTATTATTCTCCTTTTTCAGAAGAAGTAAGTGAAACTTTGAGAAGATCAAAAGCCTACCCACCTTTCATTTACTAAGAGAATACTAGATTTAATTAAAGTGCTTGATACTAAAGAGCAATTTTTTTCTTCTATTATACCGAGCTCAAAAGTTAATTGCATTTTAAGTTGGGCTGAACTAATGTATTATTTTTCCTTCTATTTTCAAATATTCTCACATAAATATAATTTATTAGTTTGATAAGTTATAGAAAATGAATTTTTAAACAACTATAAATGGGTAGTAATCACACTTGTTTATTTTTTTTCATAGTGTCATTCTCTGTAGTTCCTATGGATTTATTGAATAAGGAAAACCAAACATTTAAAGAATTATAGACAGTAACTGAACAGCAGATGTTACTAAAGATTGGCAAGAAGTGTATAAGTTAAATATTTACTTTCATGTTGAGGTTAAGTTACTAATGGGGGAGAAAGGAAGGGAAAGGTAGGAATGTATTTTTAAGAGAGGAAAGAACTTAATCATTGGGGGAGTGTATATTCTCCCAAAGTAGAGCACAGACAGAGAGAAACAGAAGAGCAGGTCAAAAAGAAAAATGCAATGAGCTTGGTAAGGTATGACTTCAGAATAGTTTAAGATTAATACTTATGTAGCAGTCTCAAGTTTCTTCAGAGAATGTATACTGTATCATGGAGACAGCAAGATTCATGAAGCATAAAAGAATACTACAATGCCTGCTAAAGTATTGGTGTCTTCTAACCAAAGGAAAGGGGAGCTGAGAGCCAACTCCCAGCTGAATGAGGGGGTCCAGTTACACTATGAGCTCAATTAAGAGAAAATCAACTGGCTCATTATTATACACAAGGACATTCATTCTTCTGAGTGAGGAGAATGATTGCAACTTGAATAGGAAAGCCACAAACCACTAATCAGAGTATCTCAGGTTTGACCTATTCAAGTATATTTCAAATTACCCAATTAGCAGGATTGCCAATAAGTTCCTTGTAGCAGTTATATTGGCACTGATGATACCATAATCAGTTGTCTTAATCAAGCCTTTGACAACAAAAATGATGGGCTGAATATACTCCTAACAAGGACTGGGGAATTAGGGCCACCAGGTCACTGCTGTTGGGTCACTAAACTTTCTGTTCTGTCAACTGCTCTTGGAAGACTATGTGAGTTTTATTTGGTTTGCTTGTGTATCACCACCCACCCACCTGTCCACAGGCTGTGCTCCCATTTCTCAACTCCCAGTTTCTCTTCAAAATGTGGTGGTGTTACCTAGGTGACTCTTAAAACCCTTTAACTGGTCCTTAATTATTAATTGGCCTTCTTGAGCTCTATCTTGGTAGCCTGGAGTCTTAGACCTCCTCTTTGTCACCAAATTGGGTAGGTCTTTAATCCCTAAATTATAGAGGTGGAAAAGGGGGGGAGGGAATCCTCCCACTCTAGGCTTTTCTGATGATAACTGAGTGTTTTGTATTTGTTGGACAACTATGGTTGTTTAAGGGCAGGAACTAATCATTCTGTGGTCCAAGATACAAGCCTGACACATAGTACATATTTATGAATGCTTGGCAAATTAATCAGTAAATAAATGGGAAAAATGATATTTTAGCTCAGTTATGGCACTACTCTAGAACAGGACATGGCATTTAAAATAAGTCTGACCATAATAAACAGGGGCACTGTCAGTCTTATCCATGTTCTCCACATCCTAGAATATCTGGAATAGCATTTATGCTTAGAAGATTATGTTGGAATGGAATGAGTATCAGTAGTATTCTTATCCCACCTTACCCCAATTTTTTTGGTGGAAATTATGAAAAAGGACTGGGTTCAAGATATAGGTTATGGCCAAAAGGTAAATAAAGGAACAACCACAGCTGCAGTATAGGAGACAAGAGTTCAGCATTTACTGAACTTTGAATCAGAAACTGTGAAATTCTAAGTTCCCTGGTAGTAAAGATTTCTTGGGGAGGCCACTGGACTTATAGTTTTACATAAAGAATAAGGGTTTAAATCCATTTTCTCAAGAGGTTGAGGAACAGAGGGATACTACAACTGGTTACTCAGTTAATTAGAGTAACAATAATTGCCATAACAGAGTACAATACTGTAGGAACAAAAGGGTTGGGTAATTGTTTAAATGTGGGCAAGTTGAGAAAAGATCCAAAGAAGTTATATGTAGGCTGGTCTTTTTAAAACATTATTGGCAAATAAGGATGTAAAAGTCAATAAATGGTCTATGTTGTTTGGGTTCCCCTAGAAGCAGACACTGAGAAGAAGTATGTAGATATTGATGAGTTCTTTAAAAGGTGGTCCCAAGGGCCTCCCTGGTGGCACAGGCGGTTGACGGCCCACACTGTGAAGATATCCGCAGCCTCTGCAGTGCAGGTTTGATCCTGGCCGGCCAGCGAGAATCCCACATGGCGCAGCAGACCTCTCCTGTCTGGCCATCTGCTCCCCTCAGCAGTGTATTTGGTCAGTCTGCCTGTTCTGTTCCCCGCTCTGTCTCTGGTGAATCCTCTCACCCTCCTGCACATCTGGCCTGTACTCCGGTTCTTGTATAAATAAATAAATCTTTAAAAAAAATAAAATAAAAGGTGGCCCCAGAAGACTAGAGAAATAAAGAAGTGAGTATGGGAAGGAAAGGAGGCCAGCCAGCCAATGTGAGGTACCAAATCAGTTACTTAACTTGACCACATGGGGCAATCAGGTCCTCTAAAAAGCTGGTAGACAATGTAGTACACCCCCCAGCATTATTCCAACAAAAGTACCAAGAAACTAAGACATTTTTCACCAGTCCCCTACAATTAGTTGAATGGGTCTTGCAGGAAATTCAAGTATATGTTCTGAGTAGGAAAAATTCCCTGGGCAGACCATCACACAGTCACTACAGTCTCTCATTACAGTGCAATAAAACTGAAATCAATATTAGCATAACTTGATTCTGTTTTTGTCTTTGCAAACTGCTTCCCCCTCCTACCTTAACAGGGGTTCTATTATAACAAGTGATAGTTAAAGAAAGCATTGTCCCTTTTGTTCTTGCTCAACTAAGACCTTAAGCAGAGTTGGATTACTTCCACCAAGCTGGGTGGTTGGATTTCATTGCATCAGGCCAATAAGTAGTTTCCATGAGGCAACACCCTCATTGATGCCCCCACCTTCCTCTTTTCCAGCACCTGTATGGAAGAACAGAGTGTTCAATTCCCTAGCCCCTTGGTATTTGCTTGGTTCTCTGACATTTCTGAAATGTCCATATTTCAAACTCTAGTCTCTTTTAGCAATGTCATTATATTGTGAGCTATTTAAGGCAAAGTCTGATTTCTTTGTGGCAACTTTGTGTTCTTTCTTGACTCTGATTTTATCTTAGGACATGAAAGATGCTTAAAAATATTGATGAATAAATAATAAATGAAGGAAGAAGTAAGTGAATGACTGATCATTGCCCCTATAATGTTCTGTGGACTAGCACTTTGGATCAATTTGTCTCACCATTTTATTCCTTGTTCATTGTTTCATGTTATTCAACTTTCCTGAAATAAAGTGCCTTCTCTGCACATCCAAGACCTTCTTGGATGTTACTGTTCAGGACCTTGACTTTTACAGAAACATGTCTTGAACCTCAAATCCACCCTTCTTCCCACATCTTACCCTTTCAGTTCTTCATTAGCTTTCCCTGTCCCATTGGGATACAGACCCCTTCAAGGAGTTAAGCCTTCATTCATAGTAATCTTTAGTTAAATATTATTTTACCCTTCCTTAGGCATAGCTTCATTTAGAAAGATGATGCTAGAACTTACCTAAATTATACCGTTGCCAGTTCTCAAAACAGACAGAATACCTCTTTTAAAGTTGAAGTCTACTATGCTTCTACAGAGCTGTCATCTTATTCTCCTGTGGGCAGAGACTGGGCACAGGGGTGTGACTTACTTCCCCTATCAACTCAGTATATTCCTCTATAACTACTTATCTTATCCCCTCATTTCCTAATAAGAAGAAAGAACCTAGTTTGGGGATTTCAACCATCAAGTTCAGTAATGAGACCTGTGGAACTGAATCTCAATCTTATTCTTGTCTACGTATGTGACATTTGCTGCTACTGACCACTGTACTATCAAGAAAGGCCCACAAATCAAGAAATACATTTTTGAGGAAAAGATGGTAGTAAGGTACTGAAGGAACAAAATTCTAGCTAAGAATACTATATGGGTACTATAGAATGTACTGAAAAGAAGTAACAGTGACTCCAAAATTCTTTATGCAAATATGAAAAGAAAATGAGTGAGAACAGTAAGACTTATGTCTCTACCAAGAAAAAACAATCAAAAAGCTTAGGTTTACAAGTATGAAAAGGTATGATATTTGAGCAACTTGAAGATGGCAAACTGTGGACATTAACCAAGCAGGCTGAACAAATCTTCTTCACAGAGAAAACTTGGATGGTGGCAGAAGGTGGTATAGAGGAGGCATAGGATTCTAGGAGGAAAAAAAGTTATACAATTATAAAGTTAGCAAGGAAATATTTCCCTAGAAAGATGCAAGTGATCCTTCTTGATTTTAGTGAATAATTTTATAAAGACATCACAAAATCTTACTTCCAAAATTAATTCAAATTTGCTTGGATATGAGGACTGTTGTGTATATTGAAACCTAGCCAGTAATGATAAATGGAATAGGGCACCAATAAATGACAATATATCACAGGGAAGGGAAGAGTTTTAGTGCAGAGTTTGAAGGTCTGGTGTTTTGTCAGGTCTTATATAACGTCTTCATTAATGATTTGCAGGAGAGAGAAACCAATAATATATTGATGAAATCTGTACATTTAAATTGAAAAGCAAGCACAGTAAAATCTAAGAAATGATGTAAATGTATAGTAAGAAATTAGAAATTGGATCAGGAAAATACATATACCTATATATTTGAAAAAAAACTCTCCATTCAGCATATATGTATATATACAAATATATTCTAAAAATCACTGTAAAGAAAGATATTCTTTTAGAAGAAAATCTAGAAGGTAATATATGTAGCAAAATTGCAAAAGATTTACAAGACTGTGTGGCAGAAAAGCCTTTAAGAAGGCACGGGGACTGGTGTGACCACATAGAACAATAGCACATCCATTTAGTAGGAAATGTGTGAAATATTATTTTTCCTATCCCAACCCTTTGAGATTCTCATCTCTCTATACTGAAAATACATTCATATACACATGCATTCATGTACACATGCAAATATATATTAATGCACATGTGTGTATTCCCCGCAAAAAAAGAATTATTTTCTTTAAAGGGTTAGGCATTTTTTATCAACTTGAATTTTTAACAGCATGTTATACTAGATATAGACTTTTGAAGTGAAGTTCAGAGCATTTGATTCAAAAGAGAACAAGTCAAATTTAGATTTCTCAAATGAACTGAATGCTACCATTCTTACATATATGAACACGAAATATTCACAAATTTTCATGAATCTTCTATATAGGTTGATGTTTCTCAAACTTTTTGGTTTCAGGACCCTTTATACTCTTAAAATTACTGAATACCCCAAAGAGCTTTGATTTTGTGGGCTATAACTATCAATATTTACCATATTGGAAATTTATTTAAAGCGACACGTAAGTGCAGCATGCACAGTATACAATCACATAATTTATGTCATGAAAAATAACTGCATTTTTCAAACAAAATAATGAATAAATATGGCGTTGTTTCACATTTTTGCAAATCCCTTTAAAGTTTCACTTAATAGAAGACAGCTGAGTTCTTATGTTGCTCCTGCATTCAATCTGCTAGATATGTGTCTTCATTGAAGCATATGAAGAAAATCCAGCCTTGCACAGATATGAAGTTGGAAGAGAAGGAATAATTCAGACTGTGGAAGGATCTTAGTGACCCCAGGACAGTTTTCCATATTCCAAACCTTGAGAATTCTACCATAGATCAAAGATTAATTATATTACTTTGGATCTCTTTATACTGTATATGACCCCTAGTGATTAATAAATAAATCATATTTTTAATCTCTAGTTACATGGAAAAAACATTGGATAGCATGGAAATATCTGAGAGGAATGTTTAATAAGGTACTATATCGTAAATATTTTCATATAGGAATCTATCTTACAAAGTCATGAGAGTCAGATTAGAGACATATTTACAAATCAGATATGACTAGGAAAAGCTCATGGGTTTACCTGCTTACCAGTCTGTATTGCAAAGTGACCAATACAAACTGAAGCCAATAATTTCCAATGTTGAATACTTGATTTCAGTTAACACAAATACTGAGACTACAAAACTTGAAGTTACTGATAAACTCTGAAACATAAACCACCAGAAATTGAGTTGTTTTCCTGAAGAAAGTCCAAAGGCAAACAATAACACTATTCTCTAGAATGATAAGCTCAGAGAAATACTTTAAAATAGTTCCAAGTCAGACCATTGGGTCACCTTTCAGGCTCAGTTGGCCAATGAGTTTGGCAAATATTTTTATTGCGCTGATCCAATGGTTTGAATGACTTGACCAAATAGTTATTTTGGCATTTTCTACAATGTTACCAAAGTATTCAGCATGCAATTCCGATTAAGTAACTACCTTGCTTGCTCATATTTCTTTAAAGGCTTCTCTTTGTGGCGTGGTCTAAAAACCACATAGGGGGATTTGTACAAAGTGCAGAATCCCAGTAGCCACCTCAAGCTATTGAAGTAGAATTTTGGGGGTAGTGAGTTCTGTGGATACACATTTAAAATTACCTCTCCAGGTTAGTCTTTTGATATTAAACTTAAAAATCAAATCTTTGCAGAATTAAATACAGAAGTTCTTCATGATCAGTTTTCAAACTTCCCAACTTAATTTAACATCCCCCAAATCACACACTACCCACACCAACTACTTAGAATTCCCTAAATGTGCTCTATTTTCTTATCCCTTTGCCTTGGGCCCTGCTGCTTCCTTAACAATGACTTCTCCCTCAGTCTCATATATATTTTGATCAACTTCAATTTCTTTTCCAAAAGTCAAAATCACTGCTTCTGCAAAGCTTTCCTTGACTTACCCAATTAGTGTGCCCTCCTCTTTTTTGTGCATTAAACTTCAACTGCACTAGTATATAACTTATTCCACTGTAGAATAAATGTTTGGTTTTTTTTTGACTACATATATCTCTGCTGAACTGTTAGTTTCTCTGGGGACGTAAACTATATATTTTCACTTATATATTCCCCAGCACTTAGACCAGTGGCTAGAACTCTGTCTATGCTAAATGATTCCTTTTGGAAATAAACAGATGATTAGTATTAACTTTAGTTATAAAATTTTACTTTGGAAAGAAATGAGGTATACATTTAGTGAAAGCTCATTTTGAAGTAAATCTCTTTGATAATGGCTTTATGTTTTATTCTAATACATTAGCAATAACATAAATATCAAATGGCAGTGGTAGTTCCCAGAAAGTATGATGATAAGGGGAGAATTTTGAGAGCATGTTTTTGAATTTATTTTTTCTCTTTAAAAATTGTCCTTAGTTGTAGAAACAGAAAGTTTAAAAAATAAGGAAAAACACATACACACACAGAGGGATCTTTACATATGAAATTGGCTAATGTAAATCAGTTTTATACAAATTACATATGAAGCTGGAAAAAAGAGGGGACTGCCACATACCTTTGAGGCAGAAAAATCTCATTAGCATGCAATGGAATAAACAATGGATTCCAAATTCAAACTCAAAACAGTAATAAATCAAAACAATAAGGTGAAAAATGATGGCATCAGCAACAGCAGTGGCTATTAGCATGTGCACCTGCTGTGAGACAAAGCAACCCAGTGAGATGATTGGGAGAAAATTCCAATGCTGAGACCACGAGCAAAGATGTTATTTTGAAATGGGTGAGAGATGAAGTGAAGATTCAAGATGTTTTCATCATTTTTTGCAAGGTCAAGATGGAAAACTGCACTGCCCCAGAATCTTTCTGACAAATGAGCTCCAAGTAGTATTTTTATGGGCAAATTGATCCGCATCTTCTGAAGCTTCTTGATGGAATTAACATTAACACGCTGTTTGACTACTCCTGGTTTTATTGGTAGTTTATAATCTGGAATAGTTAAGATAATAGAATTATCCTGGGAGAAATAAAACACTCTAAACAGGTTTTAAAACTTCCAGAAGAGTAACGAATCAAGTCTGTTTCATTCATACCTACTTGCCATAATGATACCAATTTTTGAACCAAGTCTGCTAACCATGGAAGGCCCTGAAACTGTCATAATCTCTGCTTTCAGTGAGTTGGTTTAATTCTTTTCAGAGAGATTTGGTTTTTGTTTGTCTCTTCTTCAAGTTGAAGCAACCCACAACCACAGAAAAATTACTTCTGTTTGCTCCTAATGAGGAGGATAAAAACATTCAATATCACCCTTTCATATTAAGTTTATATATATTGATCAGACTTGTGATTTTTAAAATGAATAATTCAACAATTAATCTTTTTGTAAAAAGAATCACTGTCTTTGTAAAAAGAATCACAAGACAGTGGTTCTAATAAATATTGTGATATTTGTCAACCCAACATAAAACCTGACGACTAACATGATGAACATATTTGTAAAATATTCCATTTTCTAATACCTTACGCAAACTCCAATACCCCCAATCAAATTCATCTTCTAACAAAATGTAAACCAATGTAATGATGAAGGAACCCTTCTAAATAGCATAGCTAAGCATTCTTGCAGTTCACGTGGTGTGAGTGGTCTCTGAATTCTGACAATAAAATGTCTAGCATATATCCAGAAATAACAATAGCTAGCATTTACTAAGAACTTACTATGTGCCCCACATGGTGATAATCCTACAATCCCCAGATACATAAAAATATAATGGTGAAAACTTTGCAAAGGCAGACACATGCCCAGAGTTCCAGGGTTATGAAAAAATATAGGAAATTAATTTAGGGAATTCATTGATTTACTTTCAAGTAACATATAAATGTGATTACCTCATAACTGTCCCTTTTTGACTGCTACTTCCATGTAAGAATTAGGGTAGCCCCTATGTTTATTATCTTTTGTATCCAAACCT